TGGTTATTTTATCTAAGGAAGAGGTTTTTAAAAAGCTGTATAATGAAGCGAAAATTTCGGCTGATGAGCTAGACATATTTATTAATTTAAGATAGAGTTTTTGTTAGTATAAGTCTTGGTAAAAAATAAGCAATTACAATTCCAAATTTCATATACTGCCCTTTTAAATGTTTTACAATATCTTCATTCACGTCTTCTCTAACTCGCAATTCATGTTGGGGGAAGAGATAGGAGAAATATGTATTGCACTTTACACCAAAAGTTTGTATTCAAGAATAAGAACATACGGAATGTGCATTAAAAATCTCAACTTTTAGAATGATGTTGGGGATAATGCATATACAGACTTTTTTCGCTTGCCTGACCGCTTAATAGATAATACTAAGACCTGGCAACATTATATAAATATATTCTGCTCAGAATCGGTAATGTCAGAGAGCCTATTACTCTGGAGCAAAAATATATATCAATAAATGCTATTCGACCAAATGTTGTAAGGGAAAAAATTCAAAATATCTTGAGGATCGATTTCTTATGTGTGAAAATTAATTTGTCGCACAAGTAATCACATAGAGTTACAGATAATTTGCGATGTATCACCTATTACATCATATATATACTTTAACGAGGATTACTAAATGTGTTTATTGTGTCATGCATACAACTGTATTTTATTAAGATATTATTCAGGATCTGGGTCAAGGACTGATCTGGAAAATTCGATGTATTAACTCACAATTATCATCCAAATCTGAGAAATTTACAGTAATATCTTTTTCCCTGTAAATACAATATATGTATTTTAACGGCGAATCGCATATAGGTTTTTCCATTCCTGATGATCTACTCTTATATACCTCGTATTCTAAAATTCTGATAAAGAATGCATAATTATATTTTTTTTTATGAATGCTATTATAATATTCGGGATTCCATGGCTATTTTAACATGTCAAGCCAATATGTACCTATAATAACCATATAGCCTTGCTGATATAATAATTTCCTAACAAGTATTTGTGTCACAAAAGCTAATCGTCCCTATAATTGGACTCTTTTCTCATATATCCAAGTAGTAGTAAAATAAATGTTATGCTGATTTTCTACATAAAATTGGTCAATCACATAATTAGATTCTATTAGTTTTCCATTAATGAAATGATATGTTTTACCACGAGGAACCATACCTAAAAATTTCATATCGTCAAGAGTACCATTATTCCTCATCACCTCTCTCAAATTTGTTTTGCCAAAGATTCAGGTCTTTTCTTGTAATTCCTGTATAACTGTTGCATAGTAATTCTCAAATTGATAGTTATATCGTCTCGCAATTAAAAATTCCCAAGATCACTTTATAGATAGTTCACTAAAATAGTTATACAATATATTGGAAGATCTATCCTGAAATAGGCAAATCAGGTTTTTTATTCTGCAGGTAGTATGGGATCATTCAGAATATATTGAATATAGCGCAAAAAATAAATTATATTTCAGTTGAAATTAATAAATTATAATTAAAATATTTTTTCAGAATCATTCAGTTAAACCAGTTAAATAATCGTGACTTTTGTTCCATCTCCCAATCTAAGCACAATGCCTTTTGGTTGATTGAGATGGTTTAAGTTATTTTGTTTTGCATATATAGATGAGATAAATATTTCACTTGAAGGAGTCAACAAGTGTGGCTCATTCCTTACAGAATCCTGATACTTAAATTTATCAAAAGCTTGTTGCTTAACCCTTGCACATCCAAAATTACTTAAAGGATCGGAACATTCTTAGTCCCAATGTCTCTGCATCATGTCCTTAGCTTCAATTAATTCAATGAATCTATACCATCCATAGTGGTATGATTTGGTTGGTTTTATTTCATTAACTTGAAATGGTTTTCAGCAACGATAGCAAATTGCCATATTGTTTTTATGGATTTTAAGATGATAATAAGAATGATATGATTCGTCAAATTTGTCTTCACCAAATCCTGCAAATAAGCAGAAATTATGGTATATGCTATTTTCATTTCGTGATAATAAATATTGGAGAGTACTTTTAATTCATAATCCCCACTGCACTGGAGACTCTCCCTTTCTCATTATCGATAATCTGTCATAGATTTTTTCATTAGCAAGAAATTTTCTGACATTCATACCATTATAGTAATTTTCAAGATATGTTCTATAATATTCCATATCATATCCAGGACGGTTACTGACAGGCTTAGGTAACCGCCATTGTTTTTTATCAATAATCATATTAATGTTAATAGCACTTGCCAAGGTAACAACTGTCATATTTAGCAAATTATACTGATTTTATTGATTTATAATGTTTTTAGAAAATTCTTGAGTAATATATACTATAGAATATTATCATTCAAATTTATACGGATTTGCTGATTAGCAGTTAATTGATTTGTAGCTGATTTGAGAAACTACATATTGCTAAACCCAAATTCATTTTTCCGAAGACAGATTATGTAGTTATTCGTTTTGCAAAAAAAAATAAAATATATTATAGATAAGTTATAAATATAGTTGAGATAAATAATGTTTTTATTCAGTCGAAAGATATTAAATTTATCTTCTATTTGCATTATTTTGTACAGAATTAAAATATTTCTCAGCATCAATCAAGATTCGGCTTCTCTTAAATCTATAGGCCGAAATCTCTGGTGCACTTGCATTACGTCACATGGTATATCTTTCGAAGCCATTCATTAACACAATAAGCTTTAGTGGCAATGGAGGAGGAGTCAATAGACGTGGCTTATCTGTCCTATAGGAATAGTATCTCTGGTATTGGATAGGAGAAGAGGTTAAAAAGGTATTATCCATACAGATATTTTTTTGCTGGTTATGAATATAGTAAGGCTTGCTATGTGTAGTATTTACATTACTTTGCATTTTATGCTTTTGCCTGATACGTCGAATCCTATTTAATACATTTTCCAACCACATCTCATATTGACGGATTGCCTTCTTTGTGAAATAGCAAGGTGGTGGATTATTTTTCAGCTTCATGTAGTCTTCAAAACTCATATCACAATATTCGTTTCTGGTACAATTTGTACGCCAATGCTTATTCATAAAGAATGCATGGAAATACTCGTATCCACTTCTTAATTTGGAATAGACAAGTTGATTGCAAGAATAGCATATTCCTATGTTTACTCTGAACCAAACATCACCTGAATATAAATATCTTAGTTTTCTGGCGATAAGATATCTCTTATTAGTATCAGTCATAAGATTATTTTTTCTATATTCTATTAATGTGTCTCAGATTCGCTTCTTCCAATCGGATGGAGTCTCATTCTCACGCACCCTAGTAAAATCGTAGTTAACATACGAATCAGTTATACTTAAATGTATAAGGGGATCAGAATATACTATATTTAACGATCTTAACGATTAAGAGATTTATAGTGTTTTTGGTGAATTATAACGATTTATAGCAAGTATATATAGTAAAATATCAGATTCATTTTTATTGTTAACGGATTTAGGTCTATGCTAATTTTATGTTTACATGCGCTTTGCATGATGTATAACATGTATAACATAAAAAATTTGTATCACCCTGGCTTCTTTCCGCAACTCAAATCACGAGATGGTCGGCCAATCAAAAAAAAGCTAAGCCACCATTAAGGTTAGCTTTCGGCATTATGTTTTTACGATCTATCATTAGACCGGATGATTTGTATAAATATGTAGATAGTTATTTAGCATATGACTTCATCTAGATACGATAATAATGACATAAAAAAAATTCGGGATCAAAATGTTGATACACTTTTCTCCATTTAACCGAAGAGAAACTTACCAATATGAATGGTTTGTTTAAAATAAAATTGGGACACGCCTCTCATATCATGAAGTTAGTAGAGGAACTCAAAGAAAAACGAGGTTAGTAATTGTATATCTTCATGAAATAATATTTGGTTTATTCATATTATTTCCATTTTTTTGTAGAATCATCCCCTATGTCCGTTGAAGTCATAACCGCCACCGAATTTGAAAAATTTCGTAAAAGTACTAGAAATCAATTAGAGAATCTTAATAAAAGGATTAACATCACCTCTGAGTTTAATAAGCTCTTTTCTGATGTTAAAGATGCCCAAAACGATATTAGGGAAATTAAAAATCGTTTACTTATCTAGATAGATAAAACAACATAATTATTTTTTACTTGTATGTTGTTTCGGCAACAATTTTATAAAGTGAGATCTTTATAGACTACAAGTTAAAAATTCACAATCCTGCATATACGCACATATTTTTTTAAAAAATCAAACGAATTTTTTATTATATTTTTCGTAAAGTATTACATGAGAAAGGGCCGGCCGGCTATGTAAAAAAATGAAACTAATAAAAGATATTGGAATAGCAGGTTGTTTCAAGGGAGGAATTTGCTGAGCCCTAACCCATATAATAGCAGTTCCTTCTCTGCTACTCCTCAGATTTGCTATCTATCTAAGCACCTATTTTCTCTAAGTTTTCGCTTTTTATATTAGCCCCATGGTAAAAACTTTTTATTATATCACTTCCAAGTTTTCCCATCCCAAGTTTGAGAATTTCAACGGATATAATACTACACATCTGATCTAATGTATAATTTTTCAAACACATAGTTAAATCAACGATACTAGTAAATTGTTGGCGAATTACAGAAATGATATTTGCGAATCTTTGACTCGAGCCTGCAACCAGAAAAATTTTAGTCAAACCTCTCTAATACATAAAGCAAGGATTATTATGTTTTTATCTTACCAGAGAACCGAAAGAGCTTGAATATGAATTAGTTGAAGAGCCTCGTAAATTAGTTTTGAATTTATTGGATACTGTTGATCGAAATCAGATCTTTGAGCTAGTGCGTAATGTCAATTTATTTTGTTTTGGAGATCTTCAATAACAACATTAATTGACATACAGTAAATCTGGAAGTAACGGATTCCTCCAGGGATCTAATTCTGTCAAAATGATTTGGACGGCCTTCTTCGATATTATTAAGTCTAGAAAATATTTTTCGTCATTCTGTGCTACTTTGGCATAGCCAGCATCACATACTTCAATCTCTGCGGTGAGTTTATTATTAAGCTCAGTATTAATTTCATTCTTAATTTTAGTGATCTCTGCACACACGACACAAATAAAAATCATATGATTGAATTCATGTTTTTTACAGGTGGTGTAATATGCATCGAATAAACATATTTATATGCTGGTTTCGTATACATTATAGCATTTCTTTATTATATATATTATACAGACTCCATACAAGAAACTTTTAGGAAAAAAAATTGATAGACATACTAATACACTGACATACACTTGATCATGAAATTTTAATAAAACCTGAACTAACCTTTCCTCGACCTTGACCTCGACCTTTTCCCCTTCCTCTTGTCGTATTCCCTTGTCTATTCGTCTCCTCTTTTGATACATTAGGTAAAAACTCAGCAAACGTCACAACTCTAGGTCGGTTTGGTGTGAACCCAGTTACGTACTTAGTTGTGTATATTCTAAGTTGTCAAGTGAGGTTGGAACTAGGAGGTTCAGAACTGTGAACGAGAAATATAAATATAGGCCAGGACCGATGTAGACCATTTGGCCAATTTCGAGTTTGTTACCTGTAATATGCTAAAAGTTAAAAATAAACACTTCACATTCAGCTTAGAAATATTCTGAAAATAGCTTACTAAATCCTTGCGCTAGAAAGATTCCCAAATTTTGACATACTTCCCAAGTTGGCAGGTTAGTTCTCATCATGAACTTATTTAAAGCGAAAACATCTTCCTTCATTAATTTTTGTCTGTCGTCGCTGAATTTATCAAAGTCCGGTTTAGAAGGGTCTCCCGAAACTTCAAGTAAAAATACTGGGATCTGATTGGGCCGTTTTAGAAATTCCGCAACTCCATCTGCCTTATAATCAACTGCTTGCAAATCTAACTTTGTAGAAATAGTTCTTTCACATGAAAAGTATTGTATGGAATCCAGGAAACTAAAGGTAATAAAAAAAAAGTATGCTAGGATATGCGCTGTCCAAGATCGTTCTGTAGTGTTTTCTAAAATTCCTTCTAGCTTTGTGAAACTATCTACACTAAACTACAATAAATTACCAGATTTTATAAATTTTACTTAATAATATATAGTAAAATTAAAGATTTTTAGATTGCATAAAGTTTATGAATTTTTAATAAAATTCACTTTAAATTTTTTTATTTAATAACCAATCAATTATAATTTTAAAAATATAATTCAAAAATATTTTATTTATAAAATACCGAAATAATACTCATTTGTAAAGTAATAGACAATACAATTTTATATATAAAAATGTAAAAAAACATATAAAAAAATTGTTACTTATACTTTAATATAAGAAAAATTTTTCATGTTTTAAAAAAATTTCTTTTTTTATTTTAATATCTAAATATTATAATTGATCAGCTATCAAATAAAAAAAATCAGATGCCTTTTATTGAAAAATTGTAAACTTTTATGCAACCTGAAGATTTTCAATTTTACTATATATTACTGAATAAAATTTATAAAATCTGATAATTTATTGTAGTGTAGTGTATGTCCCTTCATTTTGTAACTTAATCAGCTTTAAATTGAAGGCAGGATTTTTCCAAATATCTCTCCTATAAAAAATAATGTTAAATGTAATTTTAAACAGAAATTTTAAGAAATGGCAAATATGATTGTTAAGACTCTTATTACTGAAATACTCATAAGATATCGAGTATATCTAATATAACTTTTGCTAGTTTTTCATTAAATTCTTTTCAACTTTTATCATGTAAAAGTCTATTATTTGGGACATCTATAATACTGTCTATGAAATTCAAAATGAAGGAATCATAATTATTTTTAATAAGGTCTGAAGCAGTTACTTTCATATGCTTCACCAGATTCTATAAGATCATAATATTAATATGATACTTTTTGCCAAAAGTGGACTATGGCAATATAAAACACTATTTATTAAATCACTTACCATAAAAAAGTTATATGCATCTACTTTTAAAGTTCTCACCATTTCTGAATCTGCACAAATCATTTGACTAGCAAGTGAAATGTGTCATGATAAGTCTGAAACACTTTTCTTCTTTAAATATTTACAGAAGTAATAGGACATACAGAACTTTACTGTTTTTAAGATTGTTTTCAATACACACAAATTCATCTCGATTTTATTTTTAATGAGTGGTTCTTTCTGTTTTGATTCTTTGATACTCTGAAGACTACTTACACCTTTGTATGTATTATCAAATTAGTGCAAAAGCCTTATATTAATACTAATGTAGTTAATCTTTTAATATTAGAATCATGTGCGCACATCTATCAACATATTTCAGGTAAATTATCAACTATATGTGGCCTGCATACAATTGACAATGTATATAAATGCTATATTTTTTCTTCATAAACAATAACTAAGATCCACTCTCATATGTTTAAGAAATCAATGTGTCTGATTAAACCTGTGCCCATACACTGGTCGAAATCAAAAAAATCAGATATGCGAAAATCAGCCTAAAATCAACCTAAATTCAGCCTAAATTCAGCAAATTATCAAAATCAGCCTAGCCGATTGGCATACATCAGAAATCGGCCAAGAATCAGCCAA